ATAATAGTAATAATAATAATACTCATTTAAAACAAAAGCCATAAAAATAAAGAGGGAATTATACCCAAAAATAAGAATAAACATCCTTGAAAGGTATTTTTCTTTTCTTATATTGCCTTTTTCTCCACAATAGAATTTTCTCAAATGTTTAATTGATTAAATTATTTATTATAATAATTTCTAACTAAGAAATAGTTCAAGTGATAATAGAAAATGAAATATTTACCTTTTAATAAAGTACATTGTTTAGTGGTGAAAAAAAGTTTGATTTTTGTTAAGTGTATTTACGAATGAGAAAGTACTTGTAAACTAACATATCTTGTAATGAGTAATATATATATATATATATATATATATATATATAAGAGTAATGGTTAAACTATTGTACTCGTTTTCAATTTCATCAGATTTCAACCAGTTTAAAGATCATTTTGAAGAGACTATCTAAAAATATTATACGTCCAAACAAAAAAATAAATCCTATCTGTAAAGGCCGGTAATTTCCAATTATTGATAATCAGGACTGTAATTTTTCAGTTTCTGTTGGCATATATATTTAATGAGAATTAGGCATAATTATTAATTCACAAGGTTACTAAATGGTAAGCTAAAGGTAATTAATCGTTTTCTGATTAAATTTATTGTTTAAACTTCATATATTTGTGATATTTTAAATGGAAAATGCTTTTTTTGCTTGTGTGCTGTGTGCTAATTATATTGACATGAGCAGTACATGACGTTAGTCGTCAACAGAATGTCTGGCAGCATAGAGACAAGAGGATCGAACAGTAAAGAATGGAAACAGAATGTAATTTGTATGAAAATGCAAGAACAATGAAGTCTGAGACAATTTGATGAACATTTTGCAAATTAAGCATTTACTTTATGATTGTTAGATTTTATTAACAAGTCCTGTGATTTTGTGTCAAGTACGTTCGGTTGTCCCCACTCGTCTTCTTATTTACTACACTTGTACTTGTCAACAAGACGTATTTACACTCTCAAAAGAATTAGTGCTTCGATTAAGATCAGGACTCACGTCACCCAGCTCCTTAGTCTGAGACGTCACCATTCAGTCGCTTTGGATCCAAGTTAGGCCTCAAAATACAACATCAAAATCCCTCAAGAATTCAGACACGTCTTGCTAACAAATGAAAGGTTCTGCATGATTTAGGTCTAAGGTATCTTATCGACTACCTTCAACCAATTATTATCAAAATATAGTACATCTGATATCGAGTCACTTGGACTAGAAGTCACATTCAAAACTGACCGATATAATTCTATCGAAATCAAAGACTAGACGAACTTGACACTGGTTACCACTCAATAATCAAACTTTAAATTAGTCATAGTTTGTGAAAATTATATTTGAAATAGTCTCAGCGACTGAAATTTAAATAATTAAGACGTTCTATCCAGAAAACTTGCCTGGACTTCTTCAGTGCAATGATCACCAAAATATATCAACAATATAACCAACATCTTATGTCAACTACCGATAACCCAAATGTACACATAAACACACATTATCACATATTAATTTATGTTCATAGTGTGAACTTTTCATATGATTCACGTTTAACTGACTCACGTCACCTTACAAACGAAAGTCAACATCTGACACGAATGAATAAATACAATATAGATTTTATTTGACTATTAAACATTATGATTTTGATTATTACCCTTGAGAACTCCAGACAAGTTCACTAGACAAAACGTCGGAATTTTCTAAACTCCAATCGCTCAGATGATTTCGAATTTTTTTCACTCGGCGCCAAAATATTGACGAATATTAAAAACCGATAAAAAGACTATAAGTTTAGTAAAACCTGGGATATATTTACAATGTACATACTATATTACAGTGTGGATTAAGCCAGGAAGTCTAAACGATCAATTATTGATTCACTGGTTCAAAGTATTGTGTCAGCTACGAGACCTGTAGGTTATGGGCTCGATTCTGTATAAAACCCTGGATCTTCACCGTTCAGGAGTCCTGAATTTAGGTGAAACAGTTGTCCAGCACTCCCTTGAAGTCTTTGTCGTAGCTGTTGTTTATTATAGTAGTTAAACATAAATTTTCTATAAGGGTATTGAAAAATCCATAAAAGGATCTGATGTTTTTCAATGTGTTGTGGAAACTTTCTCGTCACTCAACTTCATCTGGAACTTACTATGCAATCTAACGAAGTCATAACATGAATAAGTAAAATGAGTCTTAATTACAGAATAATGGAAAAATTTTAATTATATGAATTAATTGACTACTGAGTAGTGACCAATATCTTATACGTCAAGTCCCTCTTAGTGCTAACTGAATTTTTTCGACCGAATTAGAATGTGGCCACTAGTCTAATTGACTTGATATCGTGCATTTCATATTAGGATGTTGGATGGTGGGTGGGGGTAGTCAACAGGAAACCTTGCATGAACGAGGTCTCGTTCTATGTGGCACTTGTAACTAAGGCGTAATCTTGAGGGATTATGTGTTCTCAAGTGGACTCTATTTAGTGTCGTCCATCCCACAAAAGTACTTAAACACTTCTGACAAGTTTCAAAGAACAAGCAACCCAGATCCATGATTTCCAGTCGAGTACCTCCAGACACTGTTACGGGAGGACTGAAGACTTTTGACGGATTAAAACCTTTTATTGTACATTAATAATTTACTGTGCTTTTGGATGTAATTGTTTTACTTAACTTTTGAACTTGTTTGTTTATATCATTGTTTCGGACATTTTGGTTTGTCTTTGGTTTGGTATTTTGGTGCTCTCTTTGTCTTTGGTTTGGTATCTGGGAGTTTTGCTCCGGGAACCTACAAAATTGAAGGTTTGTTTTGTAATTGTTATAATTATTGTTGTTAGAACGACATTTGGTTGATTATTTGTGAATTACGAATAAATTTGGTATCTAAATTGGAACTTGGTTCTGTTGTTAATTTGGGTTCGTAATTTGCAAGTAGATCGATAGTCCGTACTTCAATAACTGGAACGAGCAAAACTTGGATGTAACATAAAGTTCTTCAATTTTTGGTTCTGTGTTTATACCTTGGATCAGTCTGGACAGTAATTTGGACCCAAATTCCTAGTCTTATTTGTCGATTTCGTTTGGATTAATTCAGATTTTTTTGGTAATTGATTATTTAGAACAACGATAACGATGGAAACACGGAGCAGAAGGCTGAAGGAAAATGTTGAAATGGATGGTAAAACTTCCAAAGCTGTTTGTGGTATGTCTGATGTTAATGATGATAAATGTGATGATGTTAGTCTTAATAGTATGTCCTCCAGCCAGCTAAGTACTTCTAGACTAAAGTTAGATAAAGCATTACTGAGGAAAAGGAATTTAGAGAAGAGACTTGAATTAGAACGGCAACTTAAGATGTTAGATCTACAAGAGGAGGTTGATATCGCTGAACTAGAATGCAAGGCTATCGAGGACGATGAACGACTACTCGTAGATAAATGTGGGATAAATGCTAAAGTGGAAAATTATTTGGATTGTGATGCTGGGTGTAATAATCATTCAGGCGAGGTATGTAACATCTCAAAAGTCGATTGGGTTGATGAGCTGAAGGACACGTTACATACAATGGTTAGTAACATGGTTTTACCTAAGATCAATATTATGTACTTTGATGGGCAACCGGGTCAGTATTACCGTTTTATTAGTCAGTTTAATAGCCTTATAGAAAGTAAGTTGTTAGATAAGGGCCAGTTGTTGTCGTATTTGTTATATTATTGCAAGGGAAAGGCCAGAACAGCAATTGAATCTTGCGTTTCTTTGCCCAGTGATTTGGGCTATGATAGGGCTAAACGAATTTTGTATGATTTATTTGGTAAAAAACATCTTGTTGCACGAGAACTAATTATTGAGTTATTAAACCATAAACCTGTCGGAGGATCGGCTGACGTATTAACTGACTTTGCGATTAAGTTGCGTAATGTATGTATAACTTTGAAGCAAATGGGATATATGTCTGACGTTGATTCTACGGCTAATTTGGAGGTAATAGTTTCATGCCTACCATGAGAATTGCAGAATAAGTGGGTGGAAGTCGCCGATAATATCATGATGCATTGGAAGGAGCCGAGCTTTGAAGAATTTGTGGTCTTCGTAGAAGAGAGGGCCAGAATTGCCCGAACCCGTTATGGTAGATTAGTACAGTGTAACTCAAGGTTCGGTAAAAGGAATTCTGAAGGCCAAGCTGATAGGAGATCACGCTTTCATACAATTAGACGAGACCCAATAGCTCAGTCAAGGTATCACGTTGTGAAATCTGCGTAGGTGATCATGAGGCGACAGATTGTCCAAGGTTAGCAAAAATGAATGTAAAAGAAAGGAGGCAGGAGGTAAGAAAACGTGGTCTATGTTACTTATGTTTGAGGAAAGGTCACATAGCTATGACATGCAACTCAGGCATCAAGTGCGACGTTGAGAATTGCAAGGTTAGGCATAATTCATTATTGCATATTGATGGTATTGATAACCATGTGGTGAACCTAGCTAAGGATTGGAACTCCTCAAAGGTTTGTTTGGGGATCGTTCCAGTCAGACTATACGGTCCCAAAGGATGTTTGGAAACATATGCACTTCTAGATAGTGGTTCGGACACTTCTCTTGTATGTGAAGAATTAATTAATCAGTTGGGTATCAAAGGTAAAGAGACCTCGATAAGGGTGGCGACTGTGAACGGAACTACCAATTGTGATTGTTTGGAGGTAAATTTAGAAGTATTTTCATTAGATGAACGGGGTTCTGTAAGGATCAACAAAGTTTACACGACCAAGAAACTTCCGATCGATCATGCAACACCTTTAACCGAACTCCAACTGAAACGGTGTAATCATCTAAAGGATATAACCCTTCCGAGGTTGCAAAGTAATTTTGTAGGAATATTGATTGGGTGTGATGCTCCGGATGCACATTGGGTCCTGGAACAACGTCTGGGGGACAGGAAGCATCCGTTTGCTGTGCGTACTCATCTTGGTTGGATGATTATAGGTCCTAAGGGAGTATCAAGGTCTCTGCATCAAGTTCAGTGGTGTCATTGTTCCACTAATGATATTTTGCGAGATTTAGAAAGACTATATAATCATGAGTTCGAGGATACAGATACGTTTCGTAATGGATATTCTGTCGAAGATAAAAAAGCTCTAGAAATAGTTAGCAGTTCGTTTAGATTGGATGGTGGTCATTTCCAAGTTGGTCTACCATGGAAGTATGATAAGCCAAGGCTACTGAATAATTTGGAACTAGCTAAACGCAGACTAGAATGCTTAAGGAAGAGGTTTATGAAAGATAACAGTCTTTTGGAGAAATATCGAGTTGTGATGAATAAACATTTAAGTAAGGGCTACATCATTGAAGCTAGTGAAGAGGAATTTGACTGTGATGCTGTCTGTTGGTATATTCCTCATCATCCTGTTATCAACCCTAAGAAAACTGGAAAATTGAGAATTGTGTATGATTGTGCGGCTGTCTATCAAGGTTGTTCTCTTAATGACCAGCTTTTGAGAGGACCAAATACTGTAAATAGTTTAATTGGTGTACTTCTACTATTCAGATTAGGTAACGTAGCATTAGCTGCTGATATCGAAGAGATGTTTCTTCAAGTAAAGATTCCGAGACAAGACAGGGGAGAATTTCGTCTATTGTGGTGGGAAGACGGTGATATACAACGAACGGCTAAGCCAAGAGTAGCCCCTTCGAAGGTCCAAACTATACCGCGCTTGGAACTTACGGCAGCAGTTTTGACAGCTCGCATGGGATCCCAGCTGCAGTCAGAATTAGATATTAAGTTTGCAGAGGTTAATTTTTGGACGGATTCTATGATTGTCTTACATTATATTAGAAATGAGAGAAGCCAGTTTAAAACATTCAGAGCAAATCGAATTTCGACTATTCACAGTCTTACTAAGGTGGACCAATCGAGATTCGTACCTTCTAAAGAAAACATATCAGACTTTGCATCCAGAGGGGTCAAGTTTGACATTGATGATGTCAAGGTATGGGAGGAGGGTCCACGTTTTCTCAAGAAGCCGTAGGAGTGTTGGCCTGCCGCTGATGTACAAGGTCCTGACCCTCATCTATTGGAAATAAAGAAGGCAATGTCGGCGCATGTAATGGCTGAAAAATCCACTGTTAATCAACTTATTAATTATTATTCAGATTGGACTAGATTACTTAAGGCTGCTGTGTGGTTAATCCGATTTAAGCGATATTTACTGGTAATGCTTTCTGGTAGAACTGATCTGTCTCAACAGGTGGATATGCTTAGATTTGATAAGTTAAATTTCGCTTGTTTAGATTTAATTCTATATTTCCAACGCATAGTATTTCGGAAAGAGATTGAAATGTTATCGTCTGATACCATTAGCAAGGTGAAGATAACGAATTCACCGTTACGAACTTTAAATCCAATGATGATTGGAAGATGGGCTTTATGTTCTGCGGACTCAAATAGTTGTTTGTGTGTGAATATGCAATGGTGCCTGAAGCCATGTGTTATGGTTATTCATTTTCTAAAAGAACTAGAAGGGTCCAACAATGTTACGATTTGGAATCAGAATAAAGAGTTCGCGGTAAATAAAGGAATTAATGCATCGGTCCTCTATATGTGTTTATATATTCATGTTTACGTTAGCGTATATGAGCTTTTATGGAGGATGAAGCATTTTGTTAGATGGTTGATATTGCTGTTGTTTATGTTGGCGCAAATGTTTTGGAAACGTTTGTCTAAGGAATATGTTTCATTATTGCAACTTAGACACAAATGGACTCAACCAGAGATGAACATAGGAGAGAGTAACTTGGTGACGACATGTACTGGGTTTTTAGAGAAAGACAAATGGTTATTAGGTCTGGTAATGAAAGTGATACCTAATAGTGATTGGTTAAGACCGATGGACTTGCGGACAAGCGTAGGGATCTTGGTAAGAGATATTAGAAAACTGCGTCTAGAAGTTGTAGATATTAGGTAGCTACTCGGATCCCTAGGCGTACTGGTGTAAGTCCTAGGTATCACGAGATTGTTGGTATATTGAGTGTCTGTTGTTGATTGTTTGTGATGCATATACTTGGATTCTTGTTGTCTATTTATTTGCCTGAAAAGAACCAAAGTTCTTTTGGTCGAGAGTGTTACGGGAGAACTGAAGACTTTTGACGGATTAAAACCTTTTATTGTACATTAATAATTTACTGTGCTTTTGGATGTAATTGTTTTACTTAACTTTTGAACTTGTTTGTTTATATCATTGTTTCGGACATTTTGGTTTGTCTTTGGTTTGGTATTTTGGTGCTCTCTTTGTCTTTGGTTTGGTATCTGGGAGTTTTGCTCCGGGAACCTACAAAATTGAAGGTTTGTTTTGTAATTGTTATAATTATTGTTGTTAGAACGACATTTGGTTGATTATTTGTGAATTACGAATAAATTTGGTATCTAAATTGGAACTTGGTTCTGTTGTTAATTTGGGTTCGTAATTTGCAAGTAGATCGATAGTCCGTACTTCAATAACTGGAACGAGCAAAACTTGGATGTAACAGACACTACCTTATGACTTAACTGAATATTTGAGGAAATACTTTTATTTTAGCAAAGCAATTTTACGTAAATGCATATCTAGTAAAATAGTATGATATTTTCGAGGAAAGCAGGTCAGTTTTCCAAATATTGTAGTAACCAAAACTTTTATGAAAAGAAATGAATTCAATTCGAACACACTATCTCGCGCACTTCTCATAGTAGAGGTTGAAAAGATAGAATTCAACGACTCACGTTGGATCCTAACTCCAAAACTACTTAGATAAAAGAATGCTTTGTATAAAGATCAGTAGTAACCACACGGGTTAGAGGGTCCCAACATCGGGAATTTTACGATGGACATCCATAGATCTTCTGTTTTTAATCTCTATTTATAATCTGCTGGACTAACAGAAGACCTGAATGTCAATATAAGGCGGTCAGAATTCACTTGAGCTTCTAAAGGACCTTACAGAAATAAAGGGATGAGGAGCACACAATGGGTCAAAACTCAACTTGTCAAAATGTTGTGTAATGACCGCTTGCCTCACTTGATACCAAGCACTTGCATTATTCAGAGAAATCCGCTCCCGATTATCTCTTCAAAGAGTGATATCACGCTTGTTACCACGAAGAGTTTAGACACCAGCCTAAACTACATGGGGGATGCAGCCAAGTTAAACGCACTCTACTACTTTATGTGGAGACAGCTAGGAGAAATCACCCCAGCCACATTATAATAATATCATTATCGCACCTCTTGAGGCAACCCTCGGAATGTTGTACAACGAAGAGCAAACACCCAGGTGTGCTCTTACGTTTACCAGTCAATGCTCTCTCAGTTAAAATGAACGGAGCACCATCATTGGATAGCCTTGAGAGAAGGCTTGACAAGCATGTACCTACCTGCTGACTATCTTCTTCCTCTTGGATCAGCTGTGTCTCATGCATTTCTCACAAATTACGACGTTTATCGTTGCCGCATATCTGTAACTACTTCCTAAGTCTCTCATTATCATCCGCTTATACCCTCTTTTTTTCCATATTACGTCTTCTTATACTGTCTACATTACCAATTGGTTGGTTCATTTATTTACCTACCAACTTATCTACATAATATTTTTTGAAACAACAGTTTCCATGGTGGTCTAGCTTCAATTGACTCATGATCTTAACCATTGAAATTACTACAATCTCATCAAAACCCAACGCCGCTTAGCGTGATGTTTTCACACTCGCTTAGCCGAGGCAAATTACCGGAAAATTGGAAGTTGGCTCACATCACACCAATTTTCAAAGGTGGTCGACGCAATGAACCTTCAAGTTATCGGGCGGTGGCTCTTCTGTCATTACCTTCAAAACTCATGGAGTCCCTGATATGCGACGGTTTAAACGACTATCTACTCTCCTTAAATTTCTTCTCACATCAACAGCATGGTTTCAGGAAGGGTTACTCTTGTATTACCAACCTGCTGACTGCGGTGGACAGATGGACAAGCATCCTCGATCGCAAGGGAAAGGTTGATGTCATTTACCTTGATTTCTCAAAAGCTTTTGATAAGGTTAACCACTTGTGTCTTATCAACAAGCTCAAACGACTAGGTATCAAACCACCTCTAATCGACTGGCTTACTTTATACCTAAAAAATCGACACTTTAAGGTTAGGGTTAATTTCACTTTATCTCAGGCTATGGAATGTCCTAGTGGGGTCCCCCAGGGCTCAGTACTAGGGCCTCTTCTCTTCTTGATCTACATAAATGATCTTCCTCAACAGGTAACGTCAGACTTATTACTTTTTGCCGACGACGTGAAACTTTGGAGAGAGATACGCAACCAAGACGATACACAGGCACTTCAGGAGGATCTGACGCGACTTCAAAGTTGGGCAGACGATAACGGACTTACCTTTAACACTTCAAAGTGTAAAGTAGTCCATCTGCGACATGTCGCAAACTACAGTTACAACTTAGGAAACTCCTCTCTAGTAGTATCCCAAGTCGAAAAAGATTTAGGAGTCCTGGTGCCCCATGACTTAAAGTCTTACGCTAACTGTGACAAAAATGCCTTCCGAGCAGACCTTGCACTGGTAACGTTGAGGCACATTTTTGGCCAGTTTGATGGAAGAACTTTCCACACAATCTTCAATAGTTTCATCCGTCCCCATTTAGAGTACGGAAACATAGTACTCCCCCCTCACTCCAAAAGGACAAGGTCACTTTGGAGCGTATCCAACGGCGAGCCACGAAATCAGCTCGAGGACTCAAATCTAAGCCTTACGAAGAACGACTCCGTTCACTAGACCTTTACCCACTAGAATATAGGCGTCTTAGAAGTGATTTATTAATGGCTTATAGTATTCTTAACACTTCTGAACATCCTCTTAAACACCTACTTAAGCTTAGTTCGAATAATAATCTAAGGGGTAACAACCAGAAACTGGAAACACAACATAGCAAGACGGAATGTAGACACAACTTCTACTCCTTAAGAGTTGTCAAAAGCTGGAACTCGCTGCCGGCCGAGCTAGTCCAAGCGACTTCTCAGGAGTCCTTCAAGAGGCAACTTGACCTATTCTTAAGGACCAAGGACAGCATCACACTATGATTTACCAATTTCTTTTCCTCTTTTATTGTTAACATGCCTAGGTTCCTGCCTGGAGGATTTGGTGATCCCCTGCTACTAGACACGGAAGCCTGTTAAGCGAAAGCTTCTTCTATTCCGTCCACAACCATTTGAACCATTTGATATAAAAACTACTAAAATGACTAGAATTTGTGCAGTCGAGAGAATGAACTATCACCAATTGGACATTCTCAAATATCCGGAACCGTAATGAAATAACAAGGAGTGAACTCAAACGAATCGATCAGTTTATACAAGCTTGTGTCATAGATATTGGATATAAGACTGAAATGATCATTTTCGAATATTCAAGGTCAGAGTAAGTAAAGCAGCATTCAGTTGTTAGTTATCTTGCGTCTAGCCTAAAGGTGTCTTGCGCGTTTAGAGAGGATGAAAGGCAGTAAATCTGAGTTAATTTAAGATGGAAATTTAAATGAAAACAGTCTATAGGAATTGTTAATAACACAAACGTATGGTTAAGATAGTCTGAGAATGAAAACTAAAGTTTGGTATCGCATTGTTTTAAGTAGTGATTAACCGTACACCGTTTGTTTAGTGCTCAGTAACTAAAATAACAGTCCCTTGTAGACGTGCTCCCGCTCGTTTTCTGAAGCTGCGTAAAATATTTCAGCATGATTTTTGAGCTCAGTTTTAAGTAAATCAAGAATCAGAGCCTAATCTCCCTGTTTTCAAGAAACTTTTGAAGGATTCCTTAAACTTTGGGGAAAACTTCAAAGTCGGGGGATTGGGAGTATCTCTACCTCAATACAAAACTTGGAAATCAATGAGTCTACAAGTGAAAGATAAATTGGGACATCCATACGACAACGTGCTCCTTTTTAAATCATATCTGTGAGATAGCAGCAGGCGAAATTAATGGTTCTGACAAAGCTCACCTGCTTGAGTGAAGCTCATATGCAAAGGCTTGATATTTCAGTTTATCTGAATAATGTATCCAGACTACCATCCGAAGAGACTATATCTTATGCGCAAATCAACGAAATTAAGGACAGAAAGTCCTGGATTTTCATATGGCGGGATAAAAAGGCGAAATCAGATTTTGAGTCGCGATTTTTGGTGAAAATTATTGTTTCTTATACAATTTGATGACTATTTAGAGTAATATTTCCTCTCTGTTGTGATATTCTATTCGTTATAACACTAATTCATTTGAGTGTAATGTTTAATAATAATTTTCTTGTTATGTCCCAATGAGTGGAAAATTGTATTTCCGACGTTCCGTGACTTATACAAGCCGCTTCTTCAGGGTAAATAAATCAGTCAGTCAGTAACAACGTAGAACTCCGTACGTACGCACATCAGTTCGAGTTTCCGTACCACATTAGCACAGAGATGCAGTTGTCGATTCAAATCCCACAGGCATGTAAGTGATGCCCACCCCGAGGCAGCATGGAATGATACCCGAAAAGCTGTGGAAATAGCAGTGATATCTACTAGTAAGGTAAACCATGAAGTTAGGGGAAAATACTGGATCTCAGCAGCATCTACCGCACTGATAGGTGCTCGAAAACTCATCCCTTTCTGGCTCTGAACATGACAAAGAGCGAAGTCAGGCTGATAAGAAGCCTGCGCAATGATCGCGGACAGTGGCGGGTAGCGAAAGCTCGAGATGGAAAAGGCAGTGGCAATGGATAATAGCAGACAACTGTTCAGACTTGTCAAGGAAACCGGTATTAGGAACCCAACTGTTAACGAGACTATCTCAGAAGAAGATGGATATATTATTCATTCTCAGTCCAGGAGATTGGATCGATGGGCAGAACACTTTAGAAATCAGTTCAACTGGCCTTCAGCCACACTTCGGTTCCCCACGATTTCCAGTCAACCTAAATAGCTGATATCACTTCCCAGTTTCCTACATCGTGGAAGGGTACTTCTTCAGGAACCTTAAAATGAAGTTAGATTAGTGTTGGTCTTAACGACCTGGTAGCATTACCGCAGAGCCCAAGGGACAACTGCTTGAAGCCGGTCGCGCACGGCCTTTTTGTGGGAGGTTTTTGACGTGTTAGCTCCGTCCTTCAAAGGACCTTACCACCGGAGACGGAAATCCGTGAGGTAAGGTGTGGTGTGACATTTTTAGGGTCGACCTTTTCTAACCCCTTCCTCCCTTGTGAGAAGGCGGCATCGCTGCAGATGCTGGCTGTCCGAGGGAAACACCTTACTGCTGTCCCACTCCTCTACAGTCACCAGTACGACTTCGCCCTCAGACCTTGAGTTGCTGCTTTTAATCTTGCCGTTTTTCAATCGACCTATCTGGCATGGTAGAACCTACAGGAACATATGTTCCATCCAATATAGCTTGGTTGGGTCATCGCGATAGGCAAGCCGGACCACCACGTCGAGGTAGCAGCTACGGTCGGGAGAGTAAATAAATAACTGATGTCTATTCGAGGTACGATATCCCCGTATTAAGTTAACATGAACTACGACCTGCATGACATGCAGGATGTGATTTGTTATAACGCTTGGTATTTTTAATATGTGTGGTTTTATTCTAATTAATAAACGAAATAGGTGTATGATCAATATATTAGTGTATTTTTGACTAGGTTCGTCGTCGTATTTTGGGGTCAATAAATTTTCGCTTGTACCAGTCTCGGTGTTCTTACTTCACATCGTAGGAATTGCATTGGTTTATCGTTGTTTTTTCAAGTATAAATAATAAGCGACGCAGATACAACAGGTTTCGACGCTAAACTTATCTATACTTATATGCAAATAGCATCCCAGTATTATAGTTGTTGTCGATTTGTGGCGAAAACTCTTACTTTAATTCCTAACCCTAAATTCCAACTTTAAATCATAATCCTAATTACTCATACTAATTTCTAACCTATTTTTAACCTCACCACGGTCGCCCGCGACGTAGAATGGTTCTCTCAGAAATACCTGAAAAGAAATTTGGGCTAGATGTGGTTTTAGTGACCTGAGAGCGTGACCGCAGTGCTCAAGGGACAACTGCTTGAGGTCGGTCACACACGATCTTTTTATGGGTAATTTTTGTGTTAGCTCCGTACTTGCTGAGACCTTACCGCCGGAGACGGATATCCGTAGGATAAGGCGAGGTGTGCATTTTTAGGGTCGACCTTTTCTAGTGGCTTTATCTGAGAGCGGGTCAGTGGTTCCTTATTCTCAGAGTTACTTCCACTAGAGACCGACTTTCCAACCTTATCCCAATATTACCTATAGTCTATGTGTGTACCCCTAATGATACTCATGATGCCCATTACTCCCCTCATTTATCTTTTTCAAACCTGATTGAAATAGATTTCTAAACATTTAGTGTTTTCGTACTAGCTGCGTTAACCCAATGACCTTTACTATAATCTAGCTAAAACTTACCACGATTCAACTTGTACTTAACACCTGGTTTATTCGTAAACTGATTATTTATTTATTTTATTTAAACACAAACATAGGTACAAGAAGGCACCAAATAAATATCCGCCACATAAATCATTCGATTTGTGTGAGGGCTCGAATACTGCCCGGGCGCACAAACCGAGGCAGATGGTCTTCTTGGAGGGCCACTTCCCGAGCCTCTGACCTAGAGGTCTAATCCATAAGGCAGTGGAGCAACGTCAAGAGATGCAGTCCCATGATAGCCGTTGGTCAGCTATAGGTTCATACTCAATTTTTCCCTTAGGATCCTGGGACCCATGTGCACTATTGGTTTGGAATACGGGTTTCCCAATTCCCATAGATAGATCCTCTACATCCGTTAACCCAGTTAAAACGCCGGACATTCGCTTTTCGTCCTCTCAATTTTATAAATAACACCCCCACTGCGAGAAGATAGTGAGTAGAACTTCCCTGACACTGGCTGTATACGCGTTGCCATGTGAGAGCATTTCAAGAGAGGGTAGAATCTCCCCACCCTCGACAGTACCAGGTCATTTGGGGTTGATTTTACTTTACATTCTATACATGTGATCATCTTATAGGCCTGCCGGACTGCATCTACAAGTGAAGCTCATGAAAATTGGTGAGTTCTTGTTGACCAGTTTCATTTTCATTCTGTATGGTATCTCAATGCAGTTGATGTTTTTTTTGTTCAGGTTTTTTAATGAAAATAGCAGATGTTGAACAGTGCGCTTTTAATTCATGGTATCACACTTTTGAATCTTACACTCAAGAAAGGTAAACTATGTAAATGATATCACTGATAAATTCTCCTACAGTATATTTATAAATCTCCCAGATGACCTTATAGCTTCATTGACAAATGACGAATTCATTCTCCCTAAAAGGTAATTACCGTAAATATATTGGAAACTAGGTAGTTTTGATTCATTCTCTTATTTCCTCTCTAAATAACCAATTAATTATATGGTTAGACTAAAACTAATGAGCTAGCCATGCCTGTTAAATTTCTCTCACCTATCTAAATTCATTCCTGATTTGTCTGCCACTTTTTGTGCGGTCCCTCGAATAATTTGAAAGCGAAAGCAAAACTAGTAGCTGGGAAAATGTATATTTTCTGCAATAAAATGACTCGCTCATACACAAAAAATGACATGGCAAAATACGACAGACTATTCGAGGAAATTAGTTTCCAGACCACTCCCTCTTGCGCATCGTATTGTACATTTTGTTTATTTTTGAAACATACCTAATTCCTTTTATGTCTGGCGCACTTGTGTGCTACTACAACTTAGGCAAACGAACTAAGACATACAAATGGTCATACATGTTGATCGGATTAACAGTTCACTGCGATAATCATGTGTAGTGCATTGCAATATCTAATTTCCAATAAATGATTAAATATAACAGAAGTTACTAGATATCATTACGTAGTATTTTGCGACATGAAGATGGTAGGCGAAGAAAAAATGAAGACAATATAGCATAAAACAAATACAATACTGCTATATTATTATTTCTATTAGGTGAGATTTAATGTTATGTTGTATATACACTTTTCATAGTCCTAGTAAATTCTGTGTAGAAAATAAAGTTGCTGCTCTTTATTCTTTAAATTTAGGTTGTTGTACTTCCCATTTACCAACCAGTAATGTTTAATTATTTATTTAAAATGCCGAGCTTAGCACGTCTTTGTTACAAACTATTAATATTCTGCCTCTTTGAATGTATGTTTTTAGTGCAAAACCAACAAACGGACATCTGTCGGACCTAGACAACGACGTGAGTTACAAAAACGTTTTTTTCATGCTACTTATAAAATGCATAGTAGCCCAGTCGTTAAGCTTTACGTCCCATATGTTGTTCGGGGCCAAAATATTACTTGGGTAGCATAAATAAATCAGACGAAGTGGGTTTGAATCCACGTTGAATGCTTGAGATCCGAGTCCATAAACAATTGAACCGCATCTTTACGATCAAATATGATATTGTATTCAGCTTTAGTCAGGATGAATCATTATGTAAAGTTGTGTTACGATATGCTTTAACTAGTTTTGGATGTCTGTGCAATCGTTTACTGCGTGACTTTTGGTCAGCGATTTGTTACATCGAACTCCTTAAGTGATACATGATTGTTTACTGCATAACAGTAATTTAATACCCAGTTTCCTGCCCTCAGTAAGCATTCATAACCATTTAAACTTGTTTATTCTATTTATTTATTTACTTCGAAAAAGTTGTTTATATTGTCACAAAACGTCGGAAATACAATTTTTCTACTCACTGGGATATAACTGCCGATTCCAAGCTCTGGTAAAGGGGTAGGGTTGAGCATAGGGTCGGTAACTCCATCCTGTTAAAAAAAACATTGCTAAAAAACGCCAACCAGAAGAAACAAATTAAACCATTTGAACTCTGACCTGGGAGTTGAAAGAAGAAATATGACGCCTCGTGATGAAATTCAAAATTTTTCCAACGTCACGAGGCTGTCGCTCCTTCTAACAACCGCAACAACAATTAATACAGGTACATGGAATGTCTGGACAATGTGGAAGACCGGGAGAATCAGTCAAATATCAACGAAAATGAGGCGATACAACTTAACAGTACTCGGAATGAGCGAAACGTATTGGACCCAAGCTGGACAGCAAAGGTTAGATACGGGAGAGATGCTGCTGTACTCTGGTCACAAAAAAGATTCTCCACAAACTCAGGGAGTTGCTCTGATACTGTCCAAAGATGCACGAAATTCACTTACAGGATGGGAATTTCATGGGTCCAGGATCATCAAAGCATCATTCAAAACAAAGAAAAAGGGAATCACAATGAATGTTGTCCAGTGTTATGCACCGATCAATAATAGCAATGAAGACAATGAAGATCAGTTTTGTGAAAGGCTGTAATCGATCATAGCGAAGTGCTCTGGAAAAGACATGACAATCCTGATGTGAGACTTAAACGTCAAGGTCGAGATGGAAAACATCGAGTAAGAAGATATCATGGGACAACATGGACTGACTAGAAAAAAGGAACGAAAATGGTGAGAGATTTTCAAATTTATGTGCATCCAACAAAATGGTTATAGGTGGCACAATATTCTCCCTCAAACGCATACACAAAGCTACATGGATCTCACCAGATCACACTACAAAGAACCAGATTGATCATATTTGCATTAGTAAAAAATTCACAAGGTTAATGGAGGACGCGTGAACCAGGAGAGGTTTAATACAGACTGACAAACTCAACGAATTTAAGTTAACTCTCAACAACAGGTTCCAAGCCGCACAGGATCTACTGAAAGAAGAAACTACTATGAAGGACAACTAGAAAGGGGTCAAAGAAGCACTAACTTCAACATTTTAGGAGGTGCTGGGAGGCAAGAAGTATCATGATAAGGAATGGATCTATAGAAACCCGGGACAAGATTGAAGAAAGGAAGATCAAGAAGACAGCAATTAACAACAGTTGAACAAGAACAGAAAAAGTCAAGGCAAAACTGAAAACACAGAAGCAAATAAGAAAGTGAAGAGGAGAATTAGAGCCGGCAAACAAAAATACGTGAAATAGCTAGCAGCGACAGCGGAAAAAGCTACAAAAGAAGGAAATGTGAAACGACTATATGACACAACGAGGAAACTGACAGGGAAATATAGTAAACCAGAGAAAGCAATCAAGCACAAATAAGGTAAGACAACCACCGAGATTCAAGAACAAAGGAACAGATGGGTGAAATACTTTAAGGAACTCTTGAAAAGACCACCTCTGTTGAATCCATCAAACATCGAAACAGCACTTACAGACCTTCGTATAGTTGTCACCCCACCGACGACCGAAGATATCAGGATGGCCATCAGATAAATCAAGATTGGGAAAGCAGCAGGATCTGACAACAATACCAGCCGAAGCACGAAAGACAAACATAGTGGTAACTGCAAACATGCTCCGCATCCTATTCAGGAAGATTTGGGAGGAAGAACGAGTACCGACGGACTGGAAAGAAGGACACCTCATCAAGATACCAAAGAAAGATCCAAGCAAATACGAGAATTACAGAAGCGTCTCAATACTGTCAGTACCAGAAAAGGCTTTCAACGGAGCGTTGCTGAACCGGATGAAAGACCCAGTAGACGCACAAATTCGAGATCAACAGGCTGGATTCCGTAAGGATCGGTCGTGCACAGACTAAGTCGCGATACTACGGAGCATTGTTGAACAACCAATTAAATAGAGCTCGTCACTATGCCTCAACTTCCTTGATTGTGAGAAAGTATTTGATAGTGCAGATAGGAGAACATTATAGAATCTTCTTCAACACTATGGAGTTCCTGAGAAAATCGTCGATATCATCCGGAAATTATACGACGAACTGCTGTGCGAAGTCGTGAATGGAGAAAAGCTGTCATACATTCCAAGTGAGGACCGCAGTCGGACAAGGCTGATTAGACTCACCCTTTCCCTTTCTTCTGGTGGTCGACTGGGTTATGGATGCCTCGACATCTGGGAGGAAACGCTGAATACAATGGATAGCTCAGAATCAATTAGAATATTTGGACTTCGCAGATGACCTGACCCTTCTATTCCATACACATGAACAAATGTAGATGAAGACAACTAGTGTAGCGGCAGTCTCTGCATCAGTAGGTTTCAAGATACACAAAGAGAAAGGCAAGGTCCTCAAATACAACACGGAGAACACCAATCCAGTCACACTTGATGGAGAAACTCTGGAACAGGTGGGAACATTCACGTATCTGAGTAGCATCGTCGATGATTAAGGAGGATCTAATGCAGAAATGAAGGCAAGGATTGGTAAATCAAGGGCAGAAATTTTACAATTGAAGGATATATGGGACTCAAAACAACAGTCAACATACATCAAAGTCAGGATGTTCAGTACGAACATCAAGACAGTTCTGATGTACGAAGCTGAAACTTGGAGAACTATCACAACCATCATCATGAATGTACAAGTATTTATGAAAAATTGTCTACGTAAGATACTTAATGTCCGTTAGCCGGATATCATCAGCGACAGCCTACTGTGTGAGAAAACTAACCAGCTTCCACCAGACGAGGAAATTAGGGGAAGACATTGGAGGTGGATAGGATATACTTTGCGGAAATCATCAGACTGAATCATGAGGCAACCACTAACTTGGAATCCTGTAAGGAAACGAAAAAGCGTAAGACCAAGAAATACACTGCGTCAGGAATCGGAAGCAGACATGAAAAGGAGTGCCCAGGACAGAGTTAGATAGAGAAAAGTGAAAAGTCTGTGCTCCTACACGAGGGGTAACAGGCATAATTAAGTATTAACCTGTCTACTCAATGTTCAATTTATTTTAAACTATCAAATCTAAGCTTGGTATTGATACCATTATCGTGTTTTACTTATAATCGTCTCATATGTTCTTAAAAAATGTTTTAATTGTTATAATTTCAGGGCATTTGGTCAGACTATTCCGATACTGATGAAAAGAACTCAGAGGTAATTATCACCCAACAAAATTTGAAAAATATTGCGTTAAGAGACCAGAATTTCCTCAGTTCGAATCTCAGTTGAAAAGTATCATCCGGAAGTTAGGTGGTGTTGTATTTCCGAAGTTAAATTGGAGCGCCCCATCTGTAAGTGTTGTATTTCAACATATTTAATTGCTATAGGATGCATCTTGGATGTCTTTCGATGGGTCACTGAAGTGCAAAACGTTTTCCGATATTTACTTACTCCTTAAATCTTCAGATTTCGCAGCACATGACTTGACTGCTCCGTAATGTGTATATTTATACAAACATAACAACCGATATTTTGCGTTCCTTTAGCTTCGCTCTGTGTACAGATACTCCAGCAGAGAAAAATTGCTGTCTTTTCAATTCCAAACCGATTCTTGTTCTACGAAGGTGGTATGACTTTCGTCCTGAGGAAGAATTCCGATGTTTCATTAAATCAAAAGTCCTTATTGGTAAGTTAATCGTAGTGTTACGTCCTTGTGTGTTGTTTGCCCTATTATTTTATATGAGATTTAAGTTGTCATACATGCTGTAGGAGTCGTAAAGATCCGAACTAGACTTTTATGTTGTGTAAACGAGCTCCAGAGTCCTAAGTGCTCCTAATCTCCTTAGTAGTCACTTTTTGAAGACTTACACTCAGTGTTGTGTGGGACTCAGATATCCTAAGACTACGAGTGCCATTAAAGCATTCCTTAGTTAACGTTTACATCTTGTTATTTGTTATGACTCGTCAAAATGTCATGTGACAAAATTCCCAATCCGAACACCGACTTATGTAACCTTGACCCTATGTTAAACCAATGAGGCGTTAACCAGCACGAGCAGTCTTGATTCAACTCTGAGTCCTTATTGGTCCTCTGTATAGTAACTTTTCGCCTAGCCCAGCCCGTTCAGTCCCGAACACAAATAAAAGCCTCCACTGTATGAATCGTATATTTCAGACATAATTGGTTTTGGATACCCGCAAATGAGACCGCATCATACCATAACATGAAGAATAATAATTATACAAGATCAAGCCAAAAGTGGTTGTATGGGATACTGTAACTTATAAATTGGGAATAAGTTGAGAATGGTAAATTGTATAACATTAGCCAATAGGCGAAATAAAACGTTATGATAAAAGGAATACTAATATATATATATATATATATATATATATATATATATATATATATGATGAACACTGCTTAGGAACTCCATCATACTATAAGACAACTGTTTCATGGATCTTTGTTTCGAACTGCTCCCTATTTAATATCGTTCCATGCAACATACTGCATTTCTTAGTGTTCAGCATGACAAATTTTTTACCAACTGAAATGTCAGTTTAAAACAAAAATACAAACTTAGTCGCCCATAACTTACGACGCGCGAACGCCGAACCTCTAGACTACTGATCCCAGCAGCCAGCGGTGTACACGTTAGTTCACGATATGGCGCAGACATTTTTTGTTGTGAGCATGATATAGTATTCCAATTTTTCGTTTACTATGTTTTTATTTCCAATCCTCAAGCAATTTCCCAACGAAAATGTGATGCCTATTTCAAAATAATTGAAGAACAGATAGAAAACATCAAATACGACCTTGTGGAATTCTTTAATCGAAAAATAAGAAATCATTTCAAATCAGAAAACTGTAAATTTTATTTTTTTTTAAAAATATTGTTTTAATTCATTTATTAATCTAGATACAGTTGACTTATACAGAGAATCATCGGTAAGTGATTTCTTTCCTAGTGTTATTCTCTTCTTTTTAACTTATGTATAGGACGATGGTAAAATGCGTATTCAAATAATTGATTTCAATGTATTTGGTCCACCAACTGAAGCACTTTTATTTCAGTGGTCGGAATTGGAAAATGATGTACATGAAAATGTGAGTTTAATTAACGCTAATTTTATAGTATACTTCGGTTTATATGACAGCGTAGTTGTTCAAACGCTAGTTTTACGGTTAAGGCATTCGAATACCAACCAATAGGTAGCAGGTCCAAGTCACACTCCACCTTTTTGAGTCCAGGCACCGAGGTAATATTACCATCTCTCTCACATAAAGTGCAGCTCAAGCCGAATACACGAATCTATACTTGTTAAATGAATGGCATCATATTAAAATGAAAAGTTGCAGTCTAAGACTTTAGGTGGGATTTGAAATTCAACCCATTTTAAATTTAGCTTATTCTTACTTCATCTCCCTTCCCATGCACAACTAGTGCAAGTTCACTCTTTGTCAGACTGGATAACACTCACTAAGGCCTGAGAACCTTGTGTTGTTGGTGTATCTTTTCTCTAAAACCCATATACAGAACCCAAGTGACCCTAACGAAAAGATGTGGGCAATTCGTACGATCCGTCTTTCGCCTACCAGGAGACTCGTCAATGACGTCTGACGATCTTCCAGGTGTAAATATAACATTAAGTATGGAAACATAACAGCCACTCCTAGAATTAATTCTAGTTGACAGTTACTTGTGTGCTGATTAAATAAATGGGAAAACAAGAATGTAAAAGAATTTTTTCGTTTTATTTAATACACATATATACTATTACAATGGAGTGCCAAAGTATGTTCCACACACGGAAATGCTTTGGCATAAACAGTAGTGAGCATCAGTAAGTGTAGCACTAAAGTTTATTTTTCAAAAAAAGAACAATATCAGGGAGTCAACTGTTAGTGGGACTATCTAGAAAAAAGACGGTATAACAGTTCAAAATCGGCGACTGGAATAACAAGAGGGAAGCCTTGAGGTACTGCTCTACAACAACCCTCCAGTTGCCTGCTACTGACTACGAACCTAAATAGAAGACTCATTAGTCTCCCGACTCTAAAAAACTTCATGAGCGACATAACCTAAGACGTTGGGTGGCACCAAAACCTGGTGTTATATTTCAGATGTTCTTAAAGATATGTGTATGAAACAATCATTGAGATTGACTGAGATACTAAGTATAGTCTAGATGCTTACAGTTATCTCGTCAGACTAGTCGTGATCGTTGGCACTTTCGATCCATAAAAAAGGATAGAAATCTTGTGATTATCATCAGAGAATCATGTTGATTGAAATCTCTTTTTTAAATAACGGCTGTCATAATTATCCAGCACACAAAGAAAGCGCGATAGTAGTAAACCTGAAAACATCAGGCGAATTTTCGACTTATCACAGCTTTTACAGATAAATAACGCTATAGGCGCTATCAACAAACCACCACATTGATGTGGAGTGCTACATTTAATGAAAAATCACTTCATTATCATCCGTATTTTGTTGATAGGATACTATTCCGTTATTTCGCTACCAAAGTGACCAAAATATCCGTCCAAATTCAGTGAATCAATACAGCGTGCCAATCGATTTGATCGATATTGCTTCAGGATCTGATCCCGTTAAGGTGATGGATTTCATTCAAGCTGTAAGTCCGGAAACATACAGTTACTCATATATTGTTTTTCATATAAACAGTACAAACGTAAATCTTTGTTATTGATAGCGACATCCCTTATTAATGACACTGGAAATATCACTAACTACTACTGGTATCCTCTATAAAAGGTTATGTTTCATTGTCAATGCATTTCTAACATTCCTTTTACTTACCCACCATTGTCACACTAGTTCCCGACGTCTTTACATTCTTTAAAGGTATCAAGATATAACGAGTTTAAAGTTGTTTTGCGTCGTTGATCTGTCTACCCAGTAATATACAGGAGAGAACTTGTCTCGACCTAGGTTAAGGCTTTAACACGATAGCTTAACTGTTTTAACCTTGAGGCTAGAAATGCATGAGTCTGAATTGAGACTAAAGGCCTTTACCAGAGAGGGGAAGACTATTCCATAACCTGATTGGTTGGCTTCAATTTTTCCGGATCAGGGCGTGTTTCGTAGCGAACAAGAAGTAATTTCCTCAGTCATACCTTTTTAACAGAAAGTTATTACGTCTAACCACTATGTAGTAAATATAATGCATTACGTACGCGGTGTTGTTATATGGATTTTATTTGGAAACTTTGTGGTTACTACCTTTTATTGGCTTTTGTGAAACAAATAATGTCACGCGTGAGGTTGTTCACCACTAACTACTTATGAACAAATGATCCGAAGTACAGAAGTCATATTTATAGTATAGTGTCAACTATATGAAGTTACCCAATAGTGATCACATTCTTTTTCCCTTCATTTGGAAGAACCAAGTTGACAACATACCTATAACGAATTAGGGCTGTATCGTATGATATGCGAAGTAACCGAATAGTCCAAAGTTGTAATGACAATGTTCTCGTTCTAACAACAAATTGATAATAAACTTTTTGTGGAAATGTCTTTCAAAAGATATTTATCTTATTATACACTAAAATACTATAACCTTTAGTCACCCGTTTTGTTTTTTGTCTCATTCCACAGAAAGTAGAAAGTCAGAAACAGTCGTGAAATTTTATTTTCTATGTATCTGTTATTTTTCAATATTTCGAATAAAAAAATACATTTTTCTTAGATCAAGCTGGTAATTATTTTTTTTTCTTCGAAGTTTTTGAAACCTTAGTAGGCTTTTTCCTAGCTGGCGACTGTTGCTTTGAACTATATTTCTGTGCAATCTTATCCAGAAAGTTTTCTGATGATTTTAATGCATTTTCATGTCGTGCTTGAATTGCCTTAGCTAATGTATCCAAATCTTCGTTAACATCAACTATCTGTTTTTTGTTTTTATTGTTCTGTTCCTTTGCAAACAACTTTTCTTCCTCTAGTGCTCGTTTAGCTCTTCTCTTTGCTTTCTCAGGTCTTTCATGTGTGTACTTCGTATATGCATCAATTTTACCACTAGATATCAATTTATCAATAAGACCGCGAACTCGACTTTCATCTCGATATGACGTGAGCATTAAAGACTCCATTATAATATCCATATCACCTTTAGAACGATTGTAGATCTTGATCAAATCTTCCGTTTCCTGTTCACTTCCTTTATACTTTTTACAATAGTCATCTATTTGTGCAGTTGTGATTTTAGGAAACAAAAGTTGCCAGTATTTAACCCAATCATCATATGATTTGCCTGTGATCTCATCGTCTTCATCGATAACACCTAAAAATTAAGATTATTCTATTTTTACAAATCGAGAACCAACCTGTCTCATCATAGACTTTACGTTTCTCGTCATCTTCCATGTACGAATAGACTCTAGACAGTACTTGGAAACGTTTTGTCGCCTCTGACTTTGAGTCACTGTCATGGCGATCAGGATGATGAAGTAAAGACAATTTATAGAAAGCTTTGCGAACTATAAAAAGATGACATATTTCATATTGTATATTTACGTTCAGTTTTGTCACACTTCTTAGTCACTCCTAAGACTTCATATAAGTTCTTCGTGTGAAAGTATTTAATGCAATCTTTTAGCAAACTTGACATTATATGACCTCAAAAGTCTAAAAAAAATATTAAACGCTTGAGCGCACAACCTTAAGCGAAAATACATACGGCTGTATATAGAAATCAAAATATATTTCAGAGAGAGTTTCCTGACTAAGAAATCTTAACATTTGACTCTTGTTTCCCTGTACTCTTGTCTAGCAATCAGTCTCAGGAGGTATCAGTAAATAGAAAAGTTGTCAAACATTTGTTTGAAATTTCTATATCATCAACCACCATAAATATAGAACGTCGCATAATATGAATCCACCCCAAAATCATACTTTTATTCCATTCATCACCAACCTCTTAGTTTTTTTACACTGAAGTTTTGAATCCCCTTTGTGCCTTAAATGTCATATATGACACGATTTAGAGTGACGAAATGCGGAATCTATTATTCAATCAACCATACTTTGAATTTCTATAATAACAATAACAAGTTAATAAATACATGAATTCAGAAGTAAAGCACTGACTCCTAGATGGTCATTGTTATTCGGGTGACTATAACAATAACAATTCATGACAGAGAACACTTTCTTATGAAAAATGTCTACTCAAGAACTCATCAAATGAAGGGTGTTATATATTTTAAGTTTGGGTTGACTGTCAGCCAAATATACTACGCAAAACCGCGCATCGAACCAAGTAATTGCACAGGTGATTGATCGAAAATATATTAGCTGTTGTTTAGTAATCCTACTATTCGAAATGGCTGTTAGTTGATAAGCTTGATAATAGTGCATAGACGCTATCTGATAACAAATGGGTGGGGCGATATGGACTCTTATAGGACGCCGCGTTTGGTTGATGATGAAATACTACGTTAACACACCACATCCAAATATTATCATACCGCTCAATTTATGAAGATACAAGCACTCTTTACACCCAACTATCGCTGATATATTCTATCCTTCAGTCGTTCGCTGTGAATTCTTCAGTGACCGGGAGCAGCGCAGCAAGCACAATTGGACAGTCACAAAGGAGGACTCGGAGTGACAGGAGGCAAGGGTTTGTATTCCAAAATGGAATAAGAGAGTACAACTAGAGACCATCTTTACAAGTTATGGGTTTTATGTATTATCGTATTTTCAGGACTTTCTTCCTTTCCAATATATTCACTCTTTGTCTCTCTGTAATAGAAAATTTTTGCGTCAATATCATAAGTACAATGGTCTCGAAATAATTATAACTAGCCATCTGTTAAAGAGTTGAAAATCTAAGTAATGCAAGACAAGGTATTATGTTCAATACCTTGACTAGATAATATAAACTAACTCAAACTTTGCTCGGCAGAATAAGCGAACTATCTGTTTATTGATGTGTCTGAGTGGTAAAAGAGCGTTTTTGACGAAAGGTGCAGTTCTGCACCGCACATATTGCAGATTCACTTATTGATGTTAGGTAGTAGTTCGGGTTCTTTGATTGAATTGGTGTTTATGTAGCGACTCGAATTATATATTCCTAGTGATAAGTAACATGTGGTTTGATTTCCTTCTCTGTTTTTATTCAGTTTGAGCCTTATGTGAATGGACCTGATGATATCGCTTTCAGAATACAGTATGTCAGGCATTATTTTAACATCCCCACCTGATTTCAGTGAGTGACTAGCCAGCAGAACATCCACTGCCTCGGCAGCGTTAGTGAGCGTTGCGCCGACTCAGTCTTGGGTGGTTTTGATCCTTGAAGTCCTTTCCCCGAGTGAGCCGTATGACAGTCAGAGGCTCTATATTGGGAAGTTCGAGCTTCCTGTTTAACTCTTTCTTAAAGCATCCTGTCACTTTTACCATGTAGATTGAGGAGAAGGTCAGAGCTGTCTTTAAGGTCCATGATTACGAGAATCGTCGCGAACCCTGATTGTTTCCCTAGGTTTTCGTATACGTTCAGGATGCAATTTTTTTGGTAATCGAAGTGCGTTTCAGATTCCTTACTGACTGACTGGACAGTATTAGGGGTAGACTGTATGGCAAAATTACCACTCGGTTTCACTACAATACCTGGGATGTTCTGCTTTCTAGACGGTGATACAGTTCTTTTTAACTTTGTTGACGGGAGTCCAACCACCTATAGAGCTTTTGGGGACCTGTTTCGTTCAGAGACCCTGTGCTGGGAGACACAATTTTGCTGGGTGAGTCTAGTGCTGTCGATTTTATGATGGTGCTAGGCTTCAGCATGTCCTTACTGGTGTTGACGCATGTTCCGTCGATACTAGCGTTGCCGATGTCTCTCTTTTTTCTTCACCGCGCTCCTTTGTTTGCCTACCTGTCTTAAGACTATCTTTTTTCAGGTTTACTGACAACTTTTTCCACAGACCCATCAAGAGAATGATGGTGGTGCTCAGCCAGTCCTCAACATTCATGTTCCACGTGACACATACCCACCTAGTACCCGAGTTATTAAGTCTGTCGTAAGTAGTTACTGTGAGATCTGTTCATGCTTTGTGGGACCAACATTTGCATTTATCACACTGCATTCCAGAGGTGACAATAAATTGGCATCCGTGTCGCTTGGTAATGTGAGATTTTGGTGAGATTACAATATTTGGATGACCTTTAATAGACGCTAGACCGACCTTAAGAATACCCACCTACTAACAAGAACTTAATAAGGTTTATAAACCAGGGTGAGGAACTACAATTATCATTTACAGCTGATGGTTAAGGATAGGAATTAGATTTAGGGTTTTCATCACGAACTGATATCAGCTACAATGACGAAACTCTATTTAGCCAAATGAGTGAGTGAATTCCGCGCCGAAATCCAAGACATGTTATGTTATATCTGATTGGTTCATCCATAAATTAGTCTCGCAGTAATTTTCAACAGATCCTAGAAAAGGTCTACGACCATAAGACAAAAAACGGCACACTCAAAACCGATAAGATGGATAGAAACGGGTGGTGAAAAAAATTTGGATAGGTGAAAACTAGCTGTAACGTGAAAAAGTGAAAAATCAAATAGTAATTTGAGACAAAACCACAGTCAACTATTAACTTGGGTAGGGCTCAAGGGAAGTAATCTACCAGGCATTAAGCTTAGGATGTATTATTTGGGTTAAAAACGATACTTTCATTGCGTAAAGACAGCATAAGTTGGAGAAATGCAAATCACTTTAGGAATGACCGTTCCGTTTCAAACGCAAAAAGCAACGTACTTATCAAATAGCCACAAATGAAGGATATGCATGTTATAACAAATAAACAATATTTGTGAATGCAAATGTGACTGTATTTACAAGATCACACGAAGATGTTGTACAAGGATTTTTGCCGGAAAAATCATTAAACATGCATGTCAATATACTCGTCACACACGACTTCTGAGATTCCATGAACTTACCTAATTCCCGTACTTTGAAGCACTCCTAGCAGTTGGTTGTGTTTTTGGAAGAGGATGGCTGTTTATATGAGACTCCTGATTTCCAACATAATGAATGTTGTATAAAAGGTCAACATTCTCTTCACACCTGCTTAGCTGAAGACAATACTTGAGGAATTCTGAAATGGCAGTGTATAACAGTTTCCAAGGCTCACTTAATGAATGACTCATAAGTAACTTCACCAGTTGAAATCATGAGTCAATTGAAGCTAGACCACCATGGGCAGCCGTTTCGTCCTAGTATGGCACTCTTCAGCAGTGCGCATCCACGATCCCGAGATTCGAACCCAGGGCACAGCAGCCTCGCATTCAAGCACTCAACCGTTAGACCACTGAGCCGGCATCCAACGGTGTTAATGTCTAACTTTAAACAATCCACGAAATTGTACATCTAGCTGATTTAATATAAAACATAAATGACCTGAAAATAATAGTCGGTAATCGCGAAGTTCTGAACTCTGAACAGCTTTTATCACATCGTATCGTTTGTCATATCTTGATATCTTCAGCTGGAGAGATAACACACCCACGGACTACATGTTCGTGTCCTATTTTCGGTATCTCCGTGTGTCGTCGTGGATTACGTTTCGTTCTATAGTCTGTTACAAATACGTTATTGTTTTGCTAAAACTCCGATGCGCCAGTCTGAAGATATTTTATCAACTATGCAAAAGCCGTTGTAAGAAAATGATAACTTTGTCTAGATTATCGGCCAGGTTCTAGCGTAAATTTTAAACGGTATTTGAAAATTGCGCGTTCAAATTTCATATACAGCCGTTATTTTTGATCTCATGTACGGGATTGGACCCGTTTTCACAAATTGTGAACAAATGTAAAGGTCTTTTTTAAGAATTCCAGCACTTTAAAAAATTTAGAGGCTCTTCATAACCCTCCCGCGAAATTCTTAGTGAAATTACGAAATGTGATCAATTTTATCCTACATTTAGGAGCTTAGGTCGTTTATGTTGGTGTTTCAAGTCAGCTTACTGGTGTATTGAACTTACTGTCGATGAGATTTGCACCGCTTTCTAAAAACATGGAGAAACAAAGTAGGAAATCGCATGAGAGCATTAATGTCGAAGGCTTACGGATTTCGATGATTTCTTTACAGTTACAGTCTTCCAGGTGGCAGTTGAGTTGTATTTTATTCAAGTTGTTTGGATCACTTACAATTAACTTTGTGTCATCATGGTTAGTTGGCATGCATTGTTACTCACTAATAATGTACCTCAAGATGAACTTTGTCATGCTTCATACTTATTTCGCTTGCTAACACTGGTTTCTGGTAAGTATAATCGCGCTTCAAAGGCAATGTTACGAATAAATCGATTTGTTATTATTAATAGGGTTCCAACTTCCTGGGTCGAAAATTTTAAAACTGGAATTTCATCTTGAGATATAACCACATTATTGTAGTACATGATTTTGTCAAGTTATGTCATCTAGACCAAACAACGTTTGTTACCTTACATCGGTCATCTAGCAACCAGATTTTTAACAATCACCGTGTGGACGACTAATGGGACATGAGTGAACTCAAACTAACACTGGCCACACTTAAATGTATTGGTATGTAAGCCTGAGTAATTTGTTTCTGATATTTCATATTTACCAACGTTGAGAATGCGAATTAATAGAACTGGCATGTGAATCAACGTATAGTTAGTCTGACTGTAATAAATTAAAATGTGACACGACAAGATCCCCATTTTCAGGCTAGTGGTTCCTCCAATACTTATATGTATTTAAGTAACGCCTAGTATTACGACCGAGATATCAATATGCTGAACTGAAGAACCAAGGTCTATCAGATTAGGCCAGACTATGTTTTTCCGTATAACGAGAGAAGCGTTTCAGAGTTACTTGCATTAAATGATATCAAAACAAAGACTGTGTAACGACCGAACAGCCAATATTCGGTTGGAACAACGGACTGACGAACCCAAAATTTATTCGATTAGACCAGACCAAGTTCCTCTGTATAGCTCACAACGCGTCTTTGAGATACTCGTATTATATTATATCAAAACACAAACTCTGTGCTCAATATAAACGGTTCTAATTAAGAACAGAACAAATTACATCAAAAATACAA